CCTGGACACCATTCCAAGGCTTGACCACCATCCTTGAAAACAGGAGAGCAGAGATCTGACCACTGCTGCTGCCACGGACCCCACCTGAGCTGCGGGATCTCCAACTCAGAGGGGAGAGCCCCTGGAGAGCACCACCACCACACTGTCAATAGACCATTCTTCCGACTTACAGAAACTGATGGCAAAGGTCAAAGAACTTCAGGCTCTGAATTGGGAGTTTCTGCAACACCCGCAGCAAAGGTCTTCCCGTGAGCCATCAAGCATGGCACTGGCTAGTTATGAACTGATTTCCAAGGAGAATAGGGCAGGTACAAGTGAAGTGACAGCAATGGGTGACACAGGCAGGACACCAACTGCCAGGCTGAGATGAGGAGTCCCTAAAAGGCAGCAGTTCAAGCCCTGACCTGGACTCCCTAGCTGACACTCAGGATGGTCCCGGTCAGGTCAGCGGAGAAGCGTTTTCTCACCTCCCTTTTGTTAAGTGCTGGTTTCAGCACCACGGCAAGGTCCCAAGGGCACCTGTGCACGAGGAAAGCCCTAGAACACTAGCAATGAGAATTCTCCCACGAGGGAAGCACCCTGCTGGCCCTCACGTGTTCCCTCTGATGTTACTAAGCAACAAGTGTTGCATCCCTCTGACCATCAGCCCTCACGAGGCGTGCTTAGGGACAGACAACGTCACATACAGAGGAGCAAAGCCCCTGCTCACAGAGGGACAGGTTCTCAGACCCTGGCCGCATCCACGCTGCTCTGTTTGACCCCAAATCGGAAATCCGTATCATCTCAGTTCTGGGGAAAGTCGGCAACCATCTAGGAACCAATGCTAACTCGTCCACTGGCCTGGGACGCTGACTGGGGCAGACCGACTGAGAAGGTACGAGCCACCCCTCCACCTGGGGCAAAGAATGGGGCGTGGCCTTCCCCAACCGCTTGCTCCGAGCCCAGCTACCAAGGAGAGAGGGGCTGGGAATTTCAGGAGCCAAAGAAATCCCCATCGCCTCACATGGTAGGCCTGTCACCAGAACCAATTTCACGGCAAGTGTGTAACCAGGTGACGGGATTTCTAAGCCTTAGAAACGAGGCTTTTTGCTTTACAGACACCGGCGTGAGGAAGCAGGAATGAAGGAAGACTTAAGGGTATCCAGGAGTGTCGTGAGGCGTGGTTCTAGGAGGCACACACCTCGTGGGATAAGAATGGGGATCGAAGCCAGGTCCTACACGGGCGAGGCAGCACATGCTACAGGCCCTTGCTACACATGTTGTTTTGCTTGTTTCACTCAGGCAAGCTTCATGGATTATGGACTGACTGCAAAGAAGTTTTAGATCTACATGGTCATCTCTTTTAACTTTAGTGTCACAAAATTATTTCTTTCTTTTTTTTTTTTTTGCTTTTTGGGTCACACCCGGCAATGCACAGGGGTAACTCCTGGCTCTGTGCTCAGGAATTACCCCTGGCAGTGCTCAGGGGACCAGATGGGATGCTGGGAATCAAACCCGGGTGGGCCGCATGCAAGGCAAATGCCTTACCCGCTGTGCTATTGCTCCAGCCCCTCACAAAATTATTTCTAAGAAATCAGAATGCGCTGCTTCTAAGTGGCAGCTAATAAAACGCAGACCAAATAAATCCTTTATCCAATGGACGATCAGGCACAAGTTATCTTCACTTAATAGGTCTAAACATAGCACAGTGGTAGGGCGTTCGCCTTACAAGCGGCCAACATGGCCGACCGAAGTTCGATTCCTCCGCCCCTCTCGGAGAGCCCGGCAAGCTACCGAGAGTATCTCGCCCGCACGGCAGAGCCTGGCAAGCTCCCCGTGACGTATTCGATATGCCAAACACAGTAACAACAAAGTCTCCAATGGAGACGTTACTGGGCCCGCTCGATGTCTAAACACAAGAAAAAAAAATTAAACTTCTTCCCCTGGATTGAAAAGCTCCTGCAGGCTCATTCCTGAATACTTTTTGGCTCTCATTTCCTGCTTCTCCTCTGCAGATTTCTGCCTGGCAGAAGCAGTCAGTTTCCCCCTGCACACTCCTTCTCCTGCCATTCTGCCAACCACACGTCCATCCCACAGCTCTTTCCTGGCCTCTTTCTGGGTCACGACCACTGCCACAGCTGCGGTGCACCAACTCAACTGCAGCAACCTGCATTTATTCCCTCACTTGCATGAAACGACTTCAACATCTACCGAAGGAGTCGAATATGCATTCCAACCTGTAGGGGGCAGAAGTGGAAATTATCTACTGTTTAAGCCTACCAATAATTTAGCAACTCATACAACATGTTTTAGTTTTGTTTTGTGTTCTGAGCACCTAGTACACCCAAACTATGATGCCAGAGACAGAGAGGAATCCAGAGATAAAACACGATATACTTTCAAGGATCTACACATCATCCAGATAAACAGAAAAATATATCAAAATGCAAAATCATCATTAACGCAAGTTAACCACCACACTCTACACTGAGCTCAGCAAGGAGGGTGTGAGATAGCAAAAAAACCAGGGAGGAGAGAAAGCAACAGTCCGCTGACCAGGAAGAAGACATTTCCTGAACAAGACTAAGGAAGGCAAAGAAAGAGAGGGCAGTGCTCAGGAGGAAGGAAGCGAAAGAAGGAAGCAAGGAGGATTCTTAGAATATGTAAATGTTGGGTGGAAAATAGAAGGAATGTGAATGCGTTATGAATACTTGTATTATATTATGAATGAAAGGAGGATAAACACTGAGGAATTTAGAGGTCACTATACACAAACATCACAGCATTTAGCATTATGGTAAGCAACCGAGATACAGGAGGTTTTCACAGGCTAATTTTGCTATCTGAGAAAAATGGCATTATTCTAACTTTTGATTACGTTCATTTGCAATTGAATGCTATCTGTCACAGAGGAGTCTATTCAACCAGAATTGATACAAAGAGCTCAAATAATACATGGTAAAATATTCTTTAGTGCGCTATACATCTTCTAGATGACACACAAGATAAAAGAAGTGCTCTTCCTGTAACATCTAACCCCAAGACAAGAGTCTAGAGGATTCTTCTGGAAAATCCACAGACATTTTAATTTGGGAAATTATGCTATCTATAATGTGTAAATTGGTAATACTTGTGTATCACAGATATATGTCTAATACATAACATATCAATCATACCATGCATGTAACTCAGTCAGGATCCATCAGTCCCCTGTACTAAATAGAGCATGTAAAAATGTAAAAAAGCCACTGATGTTAAATTTTTTAAAAAAAGGGAAGAAAGAAAGAAGGGAGGGAGGGAGGGGAGCAGGAGAAACAAAAGAGTAGTCTTCAACTCATTTTTCTCAGCTTACAAGAGAAGAAGCATGACACGTATTTCAGAAATACTACAGGGAAATTTCCTGGGAAGTGGGGGCAGACCCCAACTTTTATAAACTCAGACTGCTCAGACATCAGGTAGCCTCATCCTGAAGCAGGAACATCTTTAGATCCCATTTCTCCACATTCAAAACCATGTCCAAAGGCAAGAGAGACCGTACAGAGGTACAGAGGGCTAAGGCATTTGCCTTGCCTGTGGCCAGTCACAGCTCAATCACCAGCACTCCATGGTTCCCGGAGCACTGTTGGAGAGGCCCAGGAAACCCAGAACCACAGGGCCCATGCAGCATTATCAGGGGTGGGTCCAGGATCACTGAGAGGGGGGTGAAGCCCCCAAACTTCAGTGGGGAGCCTAACCACCATCCCTATATCCTGCCTTTTTTTTTTTAAGACTCCTAGAAGCAGAATCACTGTTGGTAGATGGTTTCTGTTACCCACAGAGAAACTCTCCTGCTGCTATAGGAAAATTAAGTGTCAGAGTATCAGACAAGAAACATCCTGTTAGTATCAAGGAACCATCCAAGAAAAAGAAATGCTGATGTTCCAGTGATTGGCGCTATAATTAGAAACTTCTAGATGGTAACAGAAGTGGAGGTGCACTGAATGGTTTTATTTGAGCTCTGACTCATCTCTGTGAGTTAGGTCTCGTATATGAGTCACCGTGGCTATGCCGGCTTCATGCTATTCCCTACTGATCCTGGGAGATGGGAAATATCCCTGAGCTGATTATTGGAGCTCTGAGAAAATGAAAAGTTCTGATTGAAGGTCCTAAAATAATCCACAGCTGCAAACAAGACCAGCACCTCTGAGCCCTGCAGACCCACGACTGGGCTCCTCAGTCAATCAGCAGGTTGATTACCGAGAAGAAAAAACAGTGGACTACACACAGAAACGCAAGATGTGTCTACCTGTAGTCTCCAAAACACCGCCCTCACCCCCGGGGGCTGAATGCACCCAAGGGGGCACAACCTCCCCAGCCTGGTCTCACACACCTCACCACACCCTGCGGTCATTTACTTTTTCCTGAATAAATAACCCAGTTTTTATTTTTTTTAATGAAGAGATCATCATGCATGGTACCGGCAACATGCATGGTACCGGCAACATCTGCTTGTTATCTAAAAACGCTGAACATGCCACTCTTGTTCCTGCATCCTTTTTCAGTGATCTTAAGGCCTGCACCACTTTAACACGATTGCAGGGAAAGGTGACTGGAAACGACAGATGGGTCTATTATGAAACAGAACCGAGCCTGAGGTACTATTGAAAAGGAAGCCACCAAACTCCAAATTCAGCTGGACAAAATGGTACTGCGCTGTTTTTGTTCTGCTAAGGCTTGGTGTCTGGGGGGTGAACAAGCCCACTGCCTAGTCCCTGGCTCCCATTCAGACTCAGAAGCACTGTCATGCGTGTCCCCTAAATCCTCCATCCCGGACGTGGCCAGGCATCCCTGCGTCTTCCATGTGCACGAAGAACACCGCACCAACGCTGCACACAGTTGTGACTTGAAAGGTGGAAGAAAGAAGACGCTGACACACAAGGTGTACCACCACAGAACACCGCGGTGGGGAAGCTGACCAACGCCAAGCTCTGGAGGCCACGCCATGGGACTCTGGGGCCGGTCCCGCGCACGGCCGCACCTACCTTATTGTGCTCATACTTGTAGGGGATCTTGAGAGTGTCCATGGCCCGGATCATGGCCTGCATGGCGGTGAAGATGTTCTGGTACACCAGCTTGGTGAAGCCCCGCTTGTCCTCATCTGAGTAGCCCGATCCGTGGATGATTCGCATCTGCTTGATAAACGTGCTCTTGCCACTCTCTCCTGTCCCTGAAGGAGGAGGACAGAAGCAGAACATCAGACCAATGTGACACCATCTCACTCGAGGCGTCGGCAGGGAATCTGTCGCAGCCCCGCCCCCAAGGCCCACCGGGTAGGCGCCTGACTTAAGGGAGGAAGGCACCTTGCTCAAGTCACCTTGCACGCAGCCGACTCAGGGTCCATCTCCAGCACCACCTGTGGCCGGTCACCTGAGCCCCACCAGGAGTGAGCCCTGAGCACAACTGGTGTGGCCCAACAACAAAACAAAGAAATGCACCTAGCTGGTGAACGCTTGGAAGGATCGGAGGGAAGGGCCACTGCTGAGACAAAGGTCAAGAAACAGGGACCACGGCGGGGAACCTCCCAGCACTGCGTGGAGAGGGACTAATGACCAGGTCATGGGCACTCAACAGCATAAAACAGCCCTGAGAGAGAGTGATCGCCCAGTGAGGCTTTTAGGCAGGATCTGGACATGATCACGTAAATGATGTCCATGGAGAGTGAGGAGGAAAACACCAAATCTCCAAACATCCCCCCTTATTGAAATGCCAGGAAGGAGGAGGGTTGGAGGACTCTAGTCCCACTCCCAGTTCCACCTGACCCATCCCGTGCAGCCTCGGAGTGCTGCCTCAGTGGCTTCCAGACCCCTGAGCACCACTTAGAGCTACCAGTCCCCACCCACACGTACCCACCACGAGGGGGTAGCGGGGGAGTTCTGGGCAGTGAGACTGTTGTTATTTTTATGAGGACGACTTCAACTGGGTGATTCCCAAGAATCACCTATTTGCGAGGAGCAACTCCATCCTTCCCTCAGTTCTTGAATAATCATGGGATACAGAAAAATATCATAACCTGAGGCAGTTTTCTGCATTGTCTCGTTTTTCCCTTCTTCCATATTTCTTTTCTTTTCCTATAGGCTTGAAGGGGCTGGAGCAATAGCACAGCGGGTAGGGCGTTTCCTTGCACACAGACGACCCAGGTTCGATTCCTACACCCCTCTAGGAGAGCCCAGCAAGCTACCGAGAGTATCCCGTTCCACACGGCAAAGCCTGGCAAGCTCCCCATGGCATATTCGATATGCCAAAAACAGTAACAATATGTCTCACAATGACATAATGTCTCGCAATAACAACAAGTCTCGCAATGGAGACATTACTGGTGCCCGCTCGAGCAAATCAATGAACAACGGCAGGACAGTGCTACAGTACTGTAGGCTTGAAGGCAAATCCCTAACAAAGCCACAAATGACCATGGGAAGAAGATGGAAGATATCACTGCATGGGATTCTATATTGACAACAAATACAAGTAAAAATCCATATTTTTCTGAATTTAAGCCGTTTTTTTTTTCTTTCCTTTTTTTGGGGGGTGGGGTAGGGAATGGTGGTTGGTGGTGACTGGTCAAAGCCAGTGGTCTTCAGGGGTTATTCCTGAAGATGTGCTCAAGAGTGACCCAGCAGTGCTCGGGGACCATGTGGGGTGTCAGGGATCAAACTTGAGTCATGGCCACTGCATCTGCGTGCAAGGCCAGCGCCTTCCCTCATCTTCCTCTCTCTGTCTGCCCTGTAGTTGTGTCACTGCATCTCTGAATAGCTCTCACTGTCAAATTTCCATTTAAGTTCAAAAGCAGTAGATATCTTTGTGTCCCCTAAGCAGAGAAATGCTTAGTTCATATTTAATATTTTAATGTATTTTTAAAAAAGCACAGATACCGAAGCTGGAGAGATAGCACAGTGGGTAGGGAATTTGCCCTGCACGCGGCCGACCCGGGTTCAATTCCCAGCATCACATATGGTCCCCTGAGCATCGCCAGGAGTAACTTCTGAGTTCAGAGCCAGGAGTAACCCCTGCGCATTGCCGGGTGTGACCCAAAAAAGGGAAAAAAACACAGAGATACCTTAATGACCTGCTTCCATATGACCATCTCCACTGATAAGGCATAAAAAGGACACTAACTGCTACCGATAGAGCATCTGTCATCATTTCATTTGGCTTTTCTGATGGTTCGACTTCATTACTCAGTCCACAAAGGAGCTCCAATCAGCAGGCGAGCTTTCGAAGCAGCATCTGAGTGGCTGCTGCGTCTCGGTAGACGTGAGCCTCACACGTGCGACGGAAAACACTTTCCCGCCCCACAATCCTGCAATTGCTCGTTCATTTCCTTTCAACAAAACAAACGGGAGCCCTTCAAAATACACAATCAACACTATACTGTGAAGCGGAATCACCCATTACTAATACGCCAAAGCCAAAAATGCTTAAAAAAAAAATCTTATGATCCCAACCATGAGTAGTAGGTGGGGAAGTAAACAAAACTCTAACAGAAATCATCTACCAGCAATTTTTAGGAAGAAACTAAGTAACCTTATACTATATGCCAGTGACTGAAAGGAAGGTTGGGCTGAGCAAAGGCTTCACTCCATGTAACTGCACTCTGCACTGGCACCAGCACTTCACTCCATGTAACTGCACTTCTCTGGCACCAGCAGCAGGGGGGAGGTTTCACAGCAGGGCGATCCCCCCACCCCAACCCCAAGCCCCCACCCCCGGTGACAGGTGCTCAAGCATGAACACTTACTCTGTGCAGTAAATTCACAGAGAACAGCAGGCCAGGTAGGAAGGAGCAGGCTGAGTGCAGCGGGCAGGAAGAATGGATCGGATGTCAGTGACTGACTCTGTACTCTGGGGGTAGGTAGCTGGGAAGAACATACACGGGCAAAGATACCAGCAACAACAAAAACAACTCGGCTCCTGGTTCTGTAGACAGAGTTCAACCATGGAGACAAGTCCTTCTAAGTATGTAACTGTCATACTTCTGGGCGGGCATTTTTTTTCTTTTGGTTTGGGTTCCCTTTTATTGGGGCAGGGGGGCAAAACACCCAGTAATGCTCAGGGGATTACTCCTGGCTCTGTGCTCAGGGATCACTCCTGGTGGTGCTCGTGGGACCATACAGGATGCCAGGAATCGAACCCAGGATGGCCGTGTACCAGGCATGCCTCTGGGCTGGTGTTTTTTGTTTTGTCCTATTTTCTTAAGAGGGGGTGCTGGGGCTGGAGCGATAGCACAGCAGGGAGGGCATTTGCCTTGCACACGGCTGACCCGGGTTCGATTCCCAGCATCCCATATGATCTCCTGAGCACCGCCAGGAGTAACTCCTGAGTGCAGAGCCAGGAATAACCCCTGTGTATCACTGGCTATGACCCAAAATACCAAAAAATAAATAAATACATAAATAAATAAAGCAGTGTCCTTAAAAAAAAAAAAAGAGGGGATGCTGAGAGGTGTTCCAAGCAGCGCTCAGCAGGCCTGCAGCCCCCTCCGGGAGCAGCTCAGTTGGCTGAACCAGATGGTTCTGTGAGGAGACAAGAACAGGAGTCAGCAGGACCCCCACTGGTGCTGGTGCCTCCAAGGCAAAATCCCGTGGCGCTGGGTGGGTCTGGGACACCAGGGACTGAACCAGGGCCATCCCCTTTTCCATGAAATACCGTAATTTGGTGTAAGGGAAAACAGCTACTCCCCAATTCTAGAGGATACACAAAGGGTCACTGCCTCCAGTGGCCACAGGAGGAGTGACTTGACGAATCTATTTGCTGAATGAAAGTCCTTTCCTACTAGCTGACTGGCTGTGAATCCAGCGGTGGAGGCACTTTCCACAGCACAGGGTATAAATTAACTGGACACATCGAAAGAAATACAATGCGACTTTTTCCCCAAAGTCACTGATAAAACAAAATCTAGCGCTGAAAGCCTTTTCATGAAATCCCCTGGGCGGAGGGAGGGCACTCCTTCTGCTAATTGGAATATATCAGATCAATTCGTAACTTTAACAAATACTGGCACACACGTATGCCCTGAGTCCAGCAGGACTTTTAACTTTTTTCCTCCAATGATCTCAATATACATGGTTGAAAATACTTCCCAGTGAAGCATTTGTATCTTAGGACAAGAACCCAGCTTTTTCTTGTCCCAGCTCACCAAGAAAACAAAGAGAGCCAGGTAGACATCTCAGGAGGGAAGATGCTTGCACACGATCCACCTGAATTCAGCCCCCAGAACCCTGCCAGGAGTAAGCCCTGAGCACAGCCAGATGTCACCCAAACCCTCCCAACCTCACCCCAAAGTTACCAGAAACGCTGGAAAGGCAGTATTGTGGTGATATTTCACATGTGCGAGGATCTGAGTTCAAACCCCGTCGTTCTCCACCTGCACTCCCCAAATAGAAACAAGACTATGCTATTTAAAAAGTCACTTCCACGCAGCACGCATACTTGGCTATGAGGAATACTTAAAATTTTCTGCTCCCCCCAAATCAAGAGTGTTGGGAGGATCCTCCCAGGATGGGAGAAGCATGCTGAAAGTAGACTATAGACCAAACATGACTGCCATTCAATACCTCTTTTGCAAACCACAGCACCCAAAAGGAGAGAGAGAATAGAGGGGAATGCCCTGCCACAGAGGCAGGGTGGGATGGGGGGGATGGAGTGTGGGAGGGATACTGGGACCCGTGGTGGTGGAAAATGGGCACTGGTGGAGGGATGGGTACTCGATCATTGTATACCTGAAACCCAAGCACAGAAATCTGTAAGTCTACAACTGTACCTCATGGTGTTTCACTAATAAAAATTTAAAAAAACGAATTTCTGCTCCCCTACCAACTGGATCAGGATAAAGCAGGAAGAAAAATGCCCAGTTCATCTGGCACACCCTTTTCCCATCAGAACAAAAGCAGCGTGGGGCTCAAGGCCTCCTCTGCAGCACATCACTTTGCAAGCTGTTAGGACGCGCCGGATTAGACATACAAGCTTGCACTCACGCACACCATCCAAAGCCTCCAGACTGGGCCTTGCCAAGATTTTTTCAACACGAGAACATTTCTGCCTCAGCCTCTGCCACAGATCCACGTTTATGCTCTGACATTGCCTCGTGCTGGGCATCTACAGGTTGATGTGGTCTTCGGCTCTTTGCACGAGGTCATCTGGAAGTAGTTCTGTCCCATCAGCCTCTGAAGG